ATATAACAGTAAAAAGTACAACTTTTGAACAGAAAGTGTTTTAAAATGATTTAAAAAAGGCAAAAATAGTTGATTCGATATATTAACCTATATTAGAATAAACAATGTTATACTCTTACTCCACAAATGCATTTGTACTGCAACAAATGTTTGTGCAAAAGCATTATTGTTTAAAGTTACAGATGTGCATAATGGAATAGTTAGGTCAGGTGAATCATTTAGCTGATTTGTGCATGTTTGCACATCCTCAGACTATTAGCACAGGATCTCCACAGGGCTGTGTACTTTCTCCTCTGCTCTTCTCCCTGTAGACAAACTGCTGCACCTCGAGCCATGACTCCGTTAAACTGATCAAGTTTGCGGACGACACCACCCTCATCGGGCTCATCTCTGACGGTGATGACTCCGCCTACAGGAGGGAGGTGGAACGGCTGGTGTACTGGTGCAGCAGCAACAACCTGGAGCTCAATGGTTGGGGTGATGGTGGCACAGGAGTTAGGTGCTCGCCTCGTAATCGGAAGGTTGCAGGTTCGAGCCCCGCTCAGTCTGTCGCTGTCGTTGTGTCCTTGGGCAAGACACTTACACCTTACCTGTTGGTGGTGGTCGGAGGGACCGGTGGCGCCAGTGCTCGGCAGCCTTGCCTCTGTCAGTGCGCCCCAGGGCAGCTGTGGCTACATCGTAGCTCATCCCCACCAGTGTGTGAATGGGTGAATGACTGATTGTGTTGTAAAGCGCCTTGGGGGGTTCCAGGACTCTAGAAGGCGCTATATCAAATACAGGCCATTTACCAATGCTCAGAAGACAGTGGAGATGATTGTGGACTTCAGGAAAGTCACAGCCCCATCTCTCCCCCTCGTCCTGACGGACACCCTCCTCACCTCTGTGGGCTCCTTCCGCTTCCTCAGAACCACCATCACACAGGACCTTAGGTGGGAGCCATCCATCAGCTCCCTGATCAAAAAGGCCCAGCAGAGGATGTACTTTCGGCAGCAGTTGGAAAAGGCCAAGCTGCCGGCCCAGATGATGGTGCAGTTTTACACGGCCATCATTGAGTCCATCCTCACCTCCTCCATCGCTGTGTGGTACGTTGGAGCCACAGTGAGGGACAAACACAGACTGCAGCGCATTGTGCGCTCTGCTGAGAAGGTGATTGGCTGCAGCCTTCCATCTCTCCAGGACCTGTACGTCTCCAGAACTCGGGGGCGTGCAGGTCGGATAGCAGCTGACCCTTCGCACCCGGGTCACAGACTTTTTGAGCCGCTTCCCTCAGGCAGGAGGTTACGGTCCATCCGGACCAGAACCTCCCGCCATAAGAACAGCTTCTTTCCATCTGCCGTTGGACTTGTGAACAGCTTATAAACACACAACCATGCTCGTCTTCTGTACTCGACACATCGTCACGTTATCGGCCATGTTACCATTACCTGCCATTTTTATAGCTGAAAGTTTTATTCTATTTTTATTCTTATTGTGTGTTCATGTTATATGTAGCACATTAGAACCAAAGCAAGTTCCTAGTTTGTGAATTGCTTGTTCACTGACAATGGCAATAAACCTTTTCTGATTCTGATATTTACATTAATTTTAATTGTTGTGCAGATATAAAGTTTTTACAGTAAAAGTACAAAGTCATTTGGGATTTAAGCTTCACAGACTTGTAGTAAGTCCCAGATTGAGCCAAGTTGATCTAAATGCATCAGAATAGAGAACAAAAGAAATGGAAACAGCTAGAGCCAGACAAAATGAAATAAATAAACTTTGTGTAATATCAAACTATTCAGGAGGAAAATGCCAGATATCCACAGGCTCACAGAAACTGTAGCAGAAGTCCATTCATGCTGCTCATTCTGGGCTACCTTTGCTTTGAAACTGAAAGATGTGTAAAGTTAGCTTTGAAAGGCGTGGGACACTTGTTTAATCGTGTGCAGTGGTCTTTAGTAGGAACCAATGCTTGGTAAACCATACATGTGGGGTAAAAACACAGGTGCACAATTTCCAGGAACTAGAAGTGAACCGCATTTGAGCTTCAGACAGCAGGATCTGGAGCTCTGCAACGCTGTTTTATCTCCACAAATAACACAAGCCTGGAGGAGTTCTGCTGTGTGGTGGAGTTGCTAATACTAACAGTTAGCTTCTACTAGCTGAGATGTTCTCTGCTGTTTCCTGAACGCCAAACCAACAACAACCTTCCCCGTCGTGAGTCAAGACGGGTGAGTCCATGAATGTTAAGTGACAGTGTGACGTAGATCTGTCAGGATTTTCTAATCCTAGAGTTTCACTGTCTGTTTCTAATCAGAAGCTAATGCAGGAGATAGGTGTAGGAGACTATTTTCATGTTCAGCCTGCATGAAGAACTCACAGTGACCCGTTAGAATCAGAAATAATCATTGAAAAATGTTTCATCAGTGTTCTGCACCTTTAAGCAGAAATTCTTCTTTCTGCAAAACCAAATAATAAAACCAGTGGATGACTCCAAATGATCTCCAAACATCATGTAGCTGAGCTATAAACCGTCACAAATTCATAAGCACTATTAAAACTAGTTTTTCAGCATCACTCCTGGAAAGGATGCTTCTAATCTTAGCAATATTCCGAAGGTGGCAAAAGGAAATCCTACAAACCTGTTTAACCTGGGATTTGAATGACATGTCCTGGTCAAAGATAACACCAAGGTTCCTTACTTTGTTCTCGGAGATTAATGTAAAGCCATTCAGGTCAGGTGATTGGCCAAGCTATTTCTTTTTCTGGATTTCTGGTCCAAAGATGAGAACTTCCGTCTTGTCTTGATTTTAAAAAAAAAGTTTAGTGATCCAATTTTTTATGTCCTCAAGACAAGCCTGTAATCTACCCAACCGATTAGGTTCATCAGGGTTAATGGATAAATATAACTGAGTATCGTCAGCATAACAGTGGAAGTTTATCCCATGCTGTCTAATGATTTTACCAATTGGGAGCATATATATAGTAAAAAGAATTGGTCCAAGCACTGAACCCTGTGGTACTCCACAAGTAACCCTGGAGTATGAAGACGATTTGTCATGTACATGTACAAAATGAAGTCTGTCAGACAGGTAGGATTTAAACCAGCCTAACGCTGTTCCTTTGATCCCTACAACATGTTCAAGTCTTTCTAAAAGAACATTGTGATCAACTGTGTCAAAGGCAGCACTGAGATCTAACAAGACTAGAACAGACACAAGATTCTTATCTGAGGCCATGAGAATATCATTTGTAACTCTCACTAATGCAGTTTCAGTGCTGTGATACTCTCTAAAACCAGACTGAAATTCCTCAAACAGAGCATTAGTGTTTAAATGCTGACACACTTGGATGGCCACTATTTTCTCCAGGACTTTGGATAAAAATGGAAGGTTAGATATTGGTCTATAATTCATTGGGTCATCTGGATCCAGAGAAGGCTTCTCTGAAGGTTTGATTACAGCAACCTTAAAATCCTGTGGTACATACCCATTTACTAAGGATAGATTGATTATATCTAGAATGGGGGCAGTAACCAAAGGAAATGCATCTTTAAATAATTTGGTTGGGATTGGAGTTTCTTCTTCCGGCTCTTGGAGGGTGCAGATGCGTTTCTTCTCCTCTCCTCCATATTTTATCCTCAAGGCCTTTGTCTGTCTGTGTGTGCTGGGTGCACGGCTGCTTCTGCATTTTGTCTGGAAACTGGAAACTGAAATTCACTAAAATGGATCTCATCAGTCGGTCACTCAACGCGGTTGATAAAATTTTTTCAACGATGAGAACAGGAGAAGGGGCTCCCTGATGTTAAACTACGACTCTGCTTCCTGGTCTGGACCCTGGGTAGTCATGGAGGATTAATAAAACTGGCCATGTTCCCAGAAAGAAGAGCTGCTCCATCCAAAGAGGGATGGATGCCGTCTCTTCGCATCAGACCAGGTTTTCCCCAAAAGATTTTCCAATTATCAATGCAGCCCACGTTGTTTTCAGGACAGCATCTAGACAACCAGCGGTTGAAGGGCAGCATGCGGCTAAACATGCCATCACTGGACAAGAATGGAGAGAAGGCCTGAGTCTAAGGCCTACCGTAGATCTTTCATCCCCTCTGCAATAAGAGTGTATAACTCCTCAGTTTCAGCTGCACTGGCATCATCCTGTTACGCAATAACACCAATGCAATATTCAGTATGGGTTCAACACTTGTGCAATACCAGATTTAAACTGCATGTCCTGTCTCTTGATGTATGCTGCATAGTGTTGGAACTCAAGTTTTTCATTTAGTATTCATAGTTTTTAGTGGTCGAAGTTTACAATACTAGATTACTACCTATGTGTGTATACATGTACCTTAGTTATTATTTGTCTTCAAATTATTCTCTTAAGTGTTGGTGCTGCTGTAACAAGTGAATTCCCCCCACTGTGATATCAATAGAGTTTATCCTGTTCTATTCTATTCTATTCTATTCTATAGTCAGAAACAGGAACTCACTATGGAGTCAGGCTCATCATTCTCACACTGATGTATTATATTTTCAGAGTGGTCTAGAAAACACAAAGCAACAAGCTGATTTAGAACATTTCCCAAAACGTTTTTTAAAGGTCTTCATCAGATTACATTTTTATGCAATGGAACAAAGAAAACTCTTGTTCTGTGCCTTTATGACACACTATCACGGGAGAAGCTGACTAGTATCTACTTCTGAAGATGTGTTGCTGCCACCAGCTACACTGGAGTCTGTAGACTTCTCTGAGGAAAAGCCAATTACAGCTGATGATCCACAGCTTTTTCACACATGATGAGTGTTTTTAAACCTGCCAGGTGAGCTGGGTTGTTTCAGACCAGAACCATGGCAGTGGGTGGAGCTCTGGTTGTTTGTGTGCTGAGTGTGCTGTTCTTTGAAGGTTTGGTATCATTTTTGTAATTTAGAAATATTGAGTTGAAATTCAGGTCATTTTGTTTTTAAAGCTTGATTGTTTTCAGATAAAAAAAAACACTTTGTTTTGCATGTATTTTTGTTCATTAGGTGGATCAATAAGTCTTGGAGCTGGTGATGAGCTGCAGGTTAAACAGGAAGGTGAGGAAACCAGTGCTAGAGTCATGTAAATGTTTGGTTCTGACACTAACTTGGTGGTTCTGGATTATAGACCTGTCTCCAAATGATTCAGCTCCAAATAAGTTGTTTCCTTTTCTGGAGAAAGGTGCTAAAGGTGAGCAGTTTCTGTAAAACTCTGCTGGGAAGTCTAACTTTAGGCTTTGCATCTCATGCTGCTTCACTAATAGCTGCATAAATGATGAAGTTGGGTGAAGGTTGAGTCGGGTTTGTTGAGGTCAAGAGAAACTGTGTTCAATGTGAGAAGTTCTTGTTCTAATGACTGCTTTTCTTAAAGTAAAAAGGGAAACTAACGGGAAGGCCGCAGTGAGTGGGAATGTGACTTTTCTACAATGTGGCAACTCTACATCTGCTGAATGCAGTACCGTCAACAACACCAGTAATGATCAGAACTCTGCAGCATCACAGCTTGTAGGACTGGAACCAGCTCAGAGAGAAGTGGTGTCAAATATGTTGCCCGTGCCCTGTGACATTCCAGATCTTTGTCCTTATCCAACTCGCCATCCTATCAGGACCTTTCCTCCTCACCCCCCTGTGACCGTTCCTCGTCCCGTGACAAGACCGACACATCCCCCTGTGACTTTTAGGTGGCCAACTCGGCGTCCTCCTGTGACTTGGTGGCCAACTCGGCGTCCTCCTGTGACTTGGTGGCACACTCGGCGTCCACCTTACCCAATGTTTCATGCCTTGCCTGAATTGCAGAACTGAAGATTAATTTGACAACATGGGCTGATTTCTGTTGTGAATAAACATTCTATTTGCATTTTGTCTGACTAATTAAGCATCAACTGGGAAATTTTGACTATGAACTAAGAACTAGCTACGTCTGCTGCTTCAAAGAAAAAAAAAATCTTAAAGCCAATTTTTACTATTGCAGTCCCTAATCCTCCCCACCCTCGAGTGCGTCCTGATGTGATTGGTGACTGATCGCCACCAGAAGATGGATGCTAGTCTTGCCAGTACATTTAAAGGTGTGAACAAAATCTAGTTAAATCTTTCTGATGTGGTCATTGGGTTTTTCATGCAGGGTGAACATAAAAATGGTGTCCAACACCCACATCCTGCATAAATTTTATTAATCTGGATGTTATGATTTCTAGTCGACTCAAAGTTGGCAAGATATCTAAACACAACTGACTATGCCACGCTTCAGATGGGAAGGTTCTGATTGGATGAGTACACAATGTGTCATGCGCTTACATTAAGTGTAGTCAGAATGTCTAGTGCAGCTAGATTAAAGTCATATTACTTAAAGCATACTAATTCCATTGTCATTTCAGATTTGTCAATGTTATATTATTGACTGACACTTTGTTTAATTAGCTTAATTAAAAATAGTTTAAGGAAAGAGTCCTTTATCTTCTCGAGCTAGAAAGGAAGCAGTTTAGAAGCAAATGCATGGCCTTGAGGCAGTCTCATGCAGATTAGTAATGTGTCAGAGGCATCTGTGGAGAGGGTAAATAACCTTTGGTGGAATAGCTCCTTCATCACGTTACAATGGTTAATATGAGATTTGAATGAAAGTGTACAATCTAGTATGACACAAAGACTTTTTACCTGTAAAGATGGGCGAACGGGGCAGTTGTCAATATTGATAGAGATTGGGAGCATTGTTTAAAACCAAAGCAATGTCAATGAGTTGGAGTTCTGTTTTATTGCTTTTTAATTTAAATAGATTACGAGAGAGCCAAGATCTAATCTCTAATAGACAGAGAGGGAGATTTGTGGAAGGGATGAATTTAGATTAGAGGAAAGTTACAGCTGAGTGTCGTCAGCATAACCTAAAAATCGATGTATTTGCGGAAAATGTAACCAAGGGGAAGCAGATGATAAATGAGAGGGGGCCCAAAACCGTGCCTTGGGGAACTCCTACAGTAACCAAGAATGAAATAAAAGAGTGAGATTAAAGGAACTGAGTACGGTCAGATATGTATGATATGAACCAGGCCTGGGGGGTGTGACCATTGCTGATAGATGCTAATCTTTTGAGAAGTATGTTATGAGAGATTGTATCAAATGCAGCCCTGAGATCTAGTAGAACAAGAATGGAGAGAAGGCCTGAGTCTAAGGCCTACCGTAGATCTTTTATTCCCTCTGCAATAAGAGTGTATAACTCCTCAGTTTCAGCTGCACTGGCGTCATCCTGTTACGCAATAACACCAATGCAATATTCAGTATGGGTTCAATACTTGTGCAATACCAGATTTAAACTGCATGTCCTGTCTCTTGATGTATGCTGCATAGTGTTGGAACTCAAGTTTTCCATTTATTATTCGTAGTTTTTAGTGGTCGAAGTTTACAATACTAGATCACTACCTATGTGTGTATACATGTACCTTAGTTATTATTTGTCTTCAAATTATTCTCTTAAGTGTTGGTGCAGCTGTAACAAGTGAATTCCCCCACTGTGATATCAATAAAGTTTATCCTGTTCTATTCTATTCTATTCTATAGTCAGAAACAGGAACTCACTATGGAGTCAGGCTCATCATTCTCACACTGATGCATTATATTTTCAGAGTGGTCTAGAAAACACAAAACAACAAGCTGATTTAGAACATTTCCCAAAACATTTTTTAAAGGTCTTCATCAGATTACATTTTTATGGAATGGAACAAAGAAAACTCTTGTTCTGTGGTTTTATGACAGCCTATCACAGGAGAAGCTGACTAGTATCTACTTCTGAAGATGTGTTGCTGCCACCAGCTACACTGGAGTCTGCAGACTTCTCTGAGGAAAAGCCAATCACAGCTGATGATCCACAGCTGTTTCACACATGATGAGTGATTTTAAACCTGCCAGGTGAGCTGGGTTGTTTCAGACCAGAACCATGGCAGTGGGTGGAGCTCTGGTTGTTTGTGTGCTGAGTGTACTGTTCTTTGAAGGTTTGGTATCATTTTTGTAATTTAGAAATATTGAGTTGTAATTCAGGTCATTTTGTTTTGAAAGCTTGATTGTTTTCAGATAAAAAAACCAACAACTTTATTTTGCATGTATTTTTGTTCATTAGGTGGATCAATAAGTCTTAGAGCTGGTGATAAGCTGCAGGTTAAGCAGGATGGTGAGGAAACCAGTGCTAGAGTCATGTAAATGTTTGGTTCTGACACTAACTTGGTGGTTCTGGATTATAGACCTGTCTCCAAATGATTCAGCTCCAAAGAAGTTGTTTCCTTTTCTGGAGAAAGGTGCTAAAGGTGAGCAGTTTCTGTAAAACTCTGCTGGGAAGTCTAAATTTAGGCGTTGCATCTCATGCTGCTTCACTAATGGCTGCATAAATGATGAAGTTGGGTGAAGGTTCTTTGAGTCGGGTTTGTTGAGGTCAAGAGAAACTGTGTTCAATGTGAGAAGTTCTTGTTCTAATGACTGCTTTTCTTAAAGTAAAAAGGGAAACTAACGGGAAGGCCGCAGTGAGTGGGAATGTGACTTTTCTACAATGTGGCAACTCTACATCTGCTGAATGCAGTACCGTCAACAACACCAGTAATGATCAGAACTCTGCAGCATCACAGCTTGTAGGACTGGAACCAGCTCAGAGAGAAGTGGTGTCAAATATTAGGCCCTGTGAATATCTATTCCCTTTTGATGATCGTTGTCCATTTCCAACTCGCCATCCTATCAGGACCTTTCCTACTCGTCACCCTGTGACTTTTAGGTTGCCAACTCGGCCACCTCCTGTGACCTTCAGGTTGCCAACTCGGCCACCTCCTGTGACCTTCAGGTTGCCAACTCGGCCACCTCCTGTGACCTTCAGGTTGCGCACTCGGCCACCTCCTGTGACCCTCAGGTTGCGCACTCCGCATCCACCTTACGAACGAATGTTTCATGCCTTGCCTGAATTGCAGAACTGAAGATTAATTTGACAACATGGGCTGATTTCTGTTGTGAATAAACATTCTATTTGCATTTTGTCTGACTAATTAAGCATCAACTGAGAAGTTGACTATGGACTAAGAAAACTAGCTACTTCTGCTGCTTCAAAGGAAAAAAAAATCTTTAAGCCAATTTTAATACTACAGTCCCTAATTCTCCCCACCCTCGAGTGCAGCCACATCTGCAGCCTGATTTGATTGGTGACTGATCACCACCAGAAGATGGATGCCAGTCTTGACAGTACATTTAAAGGTGTGAACAAAAACTAGTTAAATCTTTCTGATGTGGTCATTGGGTTTTTCATGCAGAGTGAACATAAAAAATGGTGTCCAACACCCACATCCTGCATAAGTTTTATTAATCTGGATGTTATGATTTCTAGTCGACTCAAAGTTGGCAAGATTTCTAAACACCACTGACTATGCCACATTTCCATTTCAGATTGGTCAACATATTGACTAGGGCTGCAACAAATGATTATTTGGATAATCGATGAATCGGATGGGGTCTCGACACGATTAATCGGATTACATAGGGACATTTTTAAAAACTGCTAGGGAAACGTTATTTTTCTCCCTTCACTTTATTAAACACAACATTATTAGAAAACAGTTCAATAGCAGAAAAACAACATGCCATCACCTAAATTGTCTTATAAGGTGTATAGACAGAGACCCTAAGCTACACCTATCTGTGACCTAAAATGCTTGGTCCAAGTTAAACAGCTTAAAGAGCAAGTCAACCCCTACCAGAGTCTAACTCCACTCCCACTTCATGTTTGAAAAATGCAACACATGCTGTTGCCTGGCAGACTGAGAGGGCAGAGCCGCTAACAAACACACACTCAAGGCTCACAACAGCATTGTGACATCATAATGTACCAGTTTACATCATAGCATACTTCTTAGCCAATAGCGGTGGCAGATTTAAATTAAAATACAGTGCAGAGTTTTTACCTGACAACGACACAACACTGCCAGTTTTAGGCAGAATATTTAAATTTTAACTAAGATGCACTGAAGTGCCAAATTATTGACAATATGTGTCTGCAGCACGATTAGACACTCGTTTATTTAGTTTATCAGCAAAAAAAAGTTTATTTGGGGGTGACTTGCTCTTTAAGGGCAATTCTCATCTGTTTTGTTTGATCTCATCTGTAGACATTTATTATAATTGGGGATGTCAAACAACTAATTTTTAAATATAATTAAACATAGGCTGTGAATTAATCAAAATTAATCACTATTTCCAAAAATGACTGAAAAAATACCAAATAAAACAAAAGTAAATGAATGCCATCCTCCTTGTGATGATGCCCTGGGCAACTGCCATAAAGTCACATCAAGAAATGCTGCTGATCATTCCAATGATCCCAAATAGACTCACATTAGGCCACATGAAAGCAACTGAACCCAAAAATATATTAACCAGTATATAACTGCACTCTCACACAACACGCCTGCAGCTACAGTTAGGACTCCTCCCTCCCTTTTAAAAGCGTTTTCGCTTCTGAGGACATTGTGGTTGTAAAGCCACATGTTAGGTGACCAGGTACATATATACACACATAGGCAGTAATCTAGTATTGTAAACTTAGACCACTAAAAACTATGAATAATAAATGAAAAAACTTGGGTTCCAACACTATGCAGCATACATCAAGAGACAGGACATGTTAGGTGACCAGTTTCTGCGGGAATGTGACGGCGGAACCGGTTCGCAGCGGCGCGAGCCCCCCCCCCCCCCCCCCGCCTACCTAATAGCGTTGCGCTTACAATTTTATAGACTTTTTTTTAACGAGCTTAGGGCATGTCTAGCCTGTGTAATAATCCGGGGCTTGGGTGAATCACTTTTGAAAAGTTTTTAACTTACCCAGACAAAGAGCTCTCTCCTTCCTCGTTGATGATTCTGACATGCTTGCGTCATCACTGTAGTACTCCCGTGCCATGCTAAGTCTGACCTACAAACGTTGCAGGTAATGAATGTCTTTGCCTGATTTAACTGAAAATGCTCCCAAACTTTAGAAGTTTTTACTTTTTTGGGGTCTCGCTGCTTCTGCCATGTTCCTCTTTCCAAACACCTGCCGGCTCTCCGGTCTGCGCGCAACGGCGGGCGGGAGGGGAGGGGGCTTTTGGAAGAGTTGTGCAACACAACGAATTGACGACGTAATTCGTTGCCAACGCTTTTAGTAATCGATTTTCATCGAATTTATCGATTCGTTGTTGCAGCCCTATTATTGACTAATACTTTGTTTGATTAGCTTTATTAAACATAGTTTGATTTATTAAAAGGAAAGAGTCCTTTATCTTCATTCTTCTCTAGAGCTGGAAAGGAAGCAGTTTAGAAGCAAATGCATGGCCTTGAGGCAGTCTCATGCAGATCAGTAATTTGTCAGTGGCATCTGTGGAGAGGGTAAATAACCTTCGGTGGAATAGCTCCTTCATCACGTTACAATGGTTAATATGAGATTTGAATGAAAGTGTACAATCTAGTATGACGCCAAGACTTTTTACCTGTAAAGATGGGCGAACGGGGCAGTTGTCAATATTGATAGAGATTGGGAGCATTGTTTAAAACCAAAGCAATGTCAATGAGTTGGAGTTCCATTTTATTGCTGTTTAGTTTAAGTAGATTACGAGAGAGCCAAGATCTAATCTCTAAGAGACAGACAGGGAGATTGGCGGAAGGAATGAATTTGGATTAGAGGAAATGTACAGCTGGGTGTCATCAGCATAACGTAAAAATTGATGTATTTGCGGAAAATGTAACCAAGGGGAAGCTGATAGAATATAAATAAGAGGGGGCCCAAAACCGTGCCTTGGGAAACTCCTACAGTAACCAAGAATGAAATAAAAGAGTGAGATTAAAGGAAATGAGTACGATCAGATATGCATGAGATGAACCAGGCCTGGGGGGTGTGACTATTGCCGATAGATGCTAATCTTTTGAGAAGTATGTTATGAGAGATTGTATCAAATGCGGCACTGAGATCTAGTAGAACAAGAATGGAGAGAAGGCCTGAGTCTAAGGCCTACCGTAGATCTTTCATCCCCTCTGCGATAAGAGTGCATAACTCCTTAGTTTCAGCTGCACTGGCATCATCCTGTTACGCAATAACACCAATGCAATATTCAGTATGGGTTCAATACTTGTGCAATACCAGATTTAAACTGCATGTCCTGTCTCTTGATGTATGCTGCATAGTGTTGGAACCCAAGTTTTTTCATTTATTATTCATAGTTTTTAGTGGTCGAAGTTTACAATACTAGATTACTGCCTATGTGTGTATATATGTACCTTAGTTCTCTCCCTTTTCTGTCCAAAATCATTGAAAGGGTGGCTTTCAAGCAGATCACAGAATACCTCTCACAAAACTGTCTGCTTGACCCGTACCAATCTGGGTTCAAAAAGGGCCACTACACTGAAACTGCTCGGTTAGCAGTGACTGAATACTTAGAAGAAGCTAGAGCAACAGGTAAATCCTCAGTGCTTATCCTGCTCAACTTATCAGCTGCATTTAACACTGTCATCCACGGCTTCGTTTTGTCAACACTCTCTAGCATGGGCATCACAGAGAAAGCACACGCCTGGTTTGAATCGTACCTCACAGGAAGATCATTCAGTGTATCTTGGCTTGGACAATCCTCTGCCATGCACCATCTTGCCACAGGAGTCCCCCAGAGCTCTGTACTAGGACCTCTTCTCTTTGCCATATACACCACCTCACTGGGTGAGATCATTCAATCATATGGCTTCTCCTACCACTGCTATGCAGATGACACCCAGCTCTATCTGTCATTTCCACCGGACGACCACACTGTCTCTGCACGAATATCAAACTGTCTCTCTGACATATTAAATTGGATGAAATCCCACCATCTCCAACTCAACCATTCTAAAACTGAACTACTTGTCATCCCAGCAAAACTGTTCATACAGCACAATATCCCAATCCAAAATGACTTCCTATCTCTGGCTCCTTCAAAGGCAGTTCGAAATCTGGGTGCTGTGATTGATGAACTCCTGAGCTTTAAAGATCATGTTGCCTCTGTTGCTCGTTCATGCCGCTTTGCGCTGTATAACGTACGAAAGATCAGACCATACCTAACACAACATGCCACCCAGCTCCTGGTGCAATCTACTGTCATCTCCCGCCTCGATTACTGCAACGCCCTTCTAACTGGTCTTCCAGCCTGTACTGTGAGACCTCTTCAAATGGTCCAGAACGCAGTGGCGCGTCTGGTCTTCAATCAGCCTAAAAGAGCACACGTCACCCCTCTGTTCATTGAGCTCCACTGGCTACCGCTAGCAGCACACATCAAATTACAATCGCTAACACTAGCATACAAAGTCCGAGATGGTACGGCTCCCATCTACCTGAATCCTCTTGCAAAGGCTTACGTCTCGACCGCTCCGGTCATCACAGGATCGTCGGCTAGCAGTGCCTACACCACGCTCAGGACAATCCAGACTCTTCTCATACATCGTTCCACAAATGTGGAATGACCTTCCAAGCACTACCAGAACAGCGGCTTCCTTTTCAATTTTCAAGAAACTCCCGAAGACCCTGCTCTTCAGAGAGCTTCTTCTAAACTAGCACCCTCCCTGCACCCCCCCCCCCACCTCTACTGTCCACTCCTCGTTCCCTACTCTCCATGACTGATCTCAAGTTGTTGTTGTTATTGTTAGCCTCAAGGGCAACATGCCGATTATCACTTGTAAGTCGCTTTGGACAAAAACGTCTGCTAAGTACATGAACATAGTTATTATTTGTCTTTAAATTATTCTCTTAAGTGTTGTTGCTGCTGTAACAAGTGAATTCCCCCACTGTGATATCAATAAAGTTAATCCTATTCTATTCTATTCTATTCTATTCTATTCTATTCTATTCTATTCTATTCTATTCTATAGTCAGAAACAGGAACTCACTATGGAGTCAGGCTCATCATTCTCACACTGATGCATTATATTTTCAGAGTGGTCTAGAAAACACAAAGCAACAAGCTGATTTAGAACATTTCCCAAAACATTTTCAAAGGTCTTCATCAGATTAAATTTTTATGGGATGGAACAAAGGAAACTCTTGTTCTGTGGCTTTATGACACACTATCACGGGAGAAGCTGACTAGTATCTACTTCTGAAGATGTAAATGGTAAATGGCCTGTATTTGATATAGCGCCTTCTAGAGTCCTGGAACCCCCCAAGGCGCTTTACAACACAATCAGTCATTCACCCATTCACACACACATTCACACACTGGTGGGGATGAGCTACGATGTAGCCACAGCTGCCCTGGGGTGCACTGACAGAGGCGAGGCTGCCGAGCACTGGCGCCACCGGTCCCTCCGACCACCACCAGCAGGCAACGTGGGTTAAGTGTCTTGCCCAAGGACACAACAACAGCGACAGACTGAGCAGGGCTTGAACCTGCAGCCTTCTGATTACGGGGCGAGCACTTAACTCCTGTGCCACCGTCACCCAATGTGTTGCTGCCACCAGCTGGACTGGAGTCTGCAGACTTCTCTGAGGAAAAGCCAATCACAGCTGATGATCCACAGCTGTTTCACACATGATGAGTGATTTTAAACCTGCCAGGTGAGCTGGGTTGTTTCAGACCAGAACCATGGCAGTGGGTGGAGCTCTGGTTGTTTGTGTGCTGAGTGTGCTGTTCTTTGAAGGTTTGGTATCATTTTTGTAATTTAGAAATATTGAGTTGTAATTCAGGTCATTTAGTTTTGAAAGCTTGATTGTTTTCAGATAAAAAAAAAACATCTTTATTTTGCATGTATTTTTGTTCATTAGGTGGATCAATAAGTCTTAGAGCTGGTGATAAGCTGCAGGTTATACAGGAAGGTGAGGAAACCAGTGCTAGAGTCATGTAAATGTTTGGTTCTGACACTAACTTGGTGGTTCTGGATTATAGACCTGTCTCCAAATGATTCAGCTCCAAAGAAGTTGTTTCCTTTTCTGGAGAAAGGTGCTAAAGGTGAGCAGTTTCTGTAAAACTCTGCTGGGAAGTCTAAATTTAGGCGTTGCATCTCA